TTTTTTTAAATTGTGGAATGAGAAATCTCAGAATATTTCAGAATTCACATGTATGAAAAATTCAAAGAGAAGATGTACACTTTCCAAACATTCTAAATATTTATGAAAAGTATTCCAATTGTTATAAAAAAATCTGAAAAGATTATAAAATCACACAGATATTCTGAAAAATTATACAAATAAGATCTGAGAAAAATTTTTCACCAAGGGCCTTTGTACGTCGGACCTGCTCGCGCGCCGGACGAAGCAACTGCCATCTAAGGAGCGTTTAGTAAATTACAAGTGCAGTCAGTCGGTAAGTCATGCAGTAGGTAAGTCTTATGGTAAGTAGTTGGTACAACCATTAGTAATCACACCTTGTATATGTATATCTAAAGAATATCTTAATATTTTTTAATAATTTCGTATTTTCCACTGAGAATGATAAAATGGTAAATTGCATTTTAGACTGTAGTTATTAAAGAAATGAGAAAAACAACTCAACGTCATTGTGATATCGTTCAAGGATAAGTGACCGAACTATCCTATGTAGTTGTTGGTATTTCAGCGGCCTAGTAGAGTAGCAATCGGTAACAGGAACGATCATATTTAACATTCTTATGATTATCGCTAGTAGCAGTTATATCAAGTTTCTGTTTTCTTGCTGCAACACTAGATGGCTACAGCAGTGCAAAATATGAATTCATATCAATTACACATTACGTACAAAAATGTATATATGTATATTAAAATAATTGCCTTTGAATTATGTTTAAAATTCAGTTCAATTTAATTCAATTTTATATAAATTCAATTAAATGTAAATTTACATCTAATACCTGCTTTAATTTTTATAGTAAAGATTGGTACAGTAAAGATATAGTTGTGAATTAATTTAAAGTAATATTCATAAAATATTTTAAAGTATTTTTTGAGATAAAAATTTTGATCCTAGAAGAGGAATTTTTACATTTTAACTGAAATATTACTTTATTAATTTACTTAGCGTAAGCATTTTCTAATAACATTTATTTATATACAATATATTCGCATAATAAAGCATCGAATGTAAAATCGTACGATACTTTAATTTTTGCCTTACATATTCGAACAATTGAAATTGAAAGGATCGATGTTTATTTGTAACAAACGCCGTGTGCTCATTGCCCAATCATTTTGAATATGTCGGGCGTCCGATGAAGACGTTAAAAAATTTTTAAGTTATTTTATACTTAACCATGTTTTCCCGAGCCGCAAAATCAGTTGTAAAGTCTGTTGGATCACGCCGAATCCATATTGATGAACAGAATTTCAAGGTATTTACAATTTAATTAAGTTCTAACAGCGAGAGATTTTCATTTTATACATTTCTACCCGCTTCATTATCATAGATTATGTTATCTATTTTTTAATACTTTTTATTAATACGTCGGTGTAATTAAAAATACCAATTTAGATTGTTCTAATTGGCGGTGCTAGAGAAATCAGTCAAACTCTATCTCAGTTACTAAGAAATAGCGTGAAACTGAATGCCCTTGCGTTATACAATGTGGCAGCTGTCAGGCCTTTGCCGATTTACAATTTCTATGATGAACAGCCATTCAAACCTATTGTAAGTGATTCATGTTCACATTTTGTTTTAAAAGATTTAATATAATATGTAAATTAAACAAATTATAATTAACAATTTTTATTAAAGAAAAATATTTTAAATATCTATAAACAAAAATATCAATTAAATAGTCATCAAAAATGCCAATAATGAGAAAGAAATCCTGTTTGGAGGAAGGTAATCGTTTAAATGCAGTAATTAATAGCACCAGACAAACAGACAATAATAATCATCAAGGAAATAATGGAAGGGTAAAGAATAAACTTACTTATTATTTACGCATCCATTTGTCTTTATTAGAGCGTATTCAAATCTATTAATTATGTTTAATATATTAATGTTTTTCATTGATTATATGTGTAAACATTTTGTTTTACTAATATTAAGCAATAAAATAGATTATAATAAAATTACCAAAGTACTTTTTCTAATTTTTAATATAGAACTAATGAATTCGTTTCTTTATTTTGGAATTATTTTTATTTAGTATTGTTAATATTTTTATTATTTAGAATTAATATTATCTTTTGTTTAGAATAAATAATGAAGTTCAAATATTAAGTAAAATTGTTGTATATTTAAATGTGAAAGATTAAATATAGTATATTAAATATAAAAAAGATTGTATGATAAAGTAGTCGGTTTTTATGTAGAATCAGACAGAGAAACTTGTAGAAGCTCTTTACCGTTTACCAATAGCTGAAGAAACTCCAACACTTAACAGTCCATTGATACCTATTGAGGAATTAATGCCAAAGGTAAGAGAAAAATAAATCTGCAACATTTATATTTCAAATTTACGACATATACAAAAAATTACTTGATAGAATTATTTACTTTAAGGAATACAATTAATGTAGAACTGTACTTAAGAGTTATCCTTATATACACATTAGTTAATTCTAATTGTGATAAGCAGAAGTAAAAATAATCAAATTTTTAATATATTGAACACATAATTATATGTATGCTCAATATGCTGCATATTCTATACAAATTTATAAAATATTTTTTTCTTGAAATATTTTATGGAATATTATTACTATTATAAAGTAAAATTATTTTTTGTGCACACGTAAAAAATTAAAATGATTAAATTTCATAAAATTAGAAAAGAAATAAAATTACATTTGTCTTTTTAGAAATACAATTACATTTGTGCTTTTTAGAGTTATTTATTATGTCTTGATTCTGTTTCTCTCTCTCTCTCTCCTCTCTCTCTCTTTCTTTCTCTCTCTCTCTCTCTCTCTCTCTCTCTCTCCTCTGTCTTTCCTTCTATCTGTCTAACTGTCTGTTACTAGAGATATTGATTTCCATATTCGATATTATAATATTTTAATTTCAAAGAATGCATCTATTTTAATAATTTTCGTAACATAAATCATAAACTGTATTGCCACTTTACTGACAAAAGACAATAAGAACCGCAAAATTCGCATATTCGTGTTTAAGTATGTGACGTACAGTCAGTATCAGCTTTCGCTATTTTTGGACGATATAGTTTGGACTATTGAAGAAATTATAATTTCATACATATATTCGTCATCTTTGTGAGACGCTTTATTTAGCAAGATTTTCTTGGGCATATAAAATTGTTCAAATCATCGCTTAAATAAAATAAACAACCGTGACGCGTAGTGCAAGTATTAAAATAATTGTAAAGTTCCAAAAAATTAATAGAAGCCTGAAGACACATGCACTGAAGATATATTATATGAAATAGCGCTCTCAGATTTTATAAAAAATAACGAGATATAGATTGGGATATAAGTTAGCTAATCTACGAATAAAGTTAATCGATGCTGAAGACCAGCGCGGCCAAATGTAAATCTTTAACAAAGAAAAGGCCTACAAGAGAACCGATCTTGAAATCGTGTCTCCGTCTGTCCTCAGGCGGGCAACGCGTGCAGCAGGATGCGTCTTTATGCTAGAGTCCTGGGTGAGACGAGTTCCAGCAACATGAAAACCTGGCAAAGAGATTACGCCACCATCCTGATTCGCAAGAGGTTCTCAGACTTGACGTATCCATCATTTCAGGAGTACGATCTAAACTTCATTCCAGAAGCGAAAATCGCGAAGAAGCATCGATCGATTAAGAAAACGAGAAAAATCGAACATTTATCTTGCAGTGCACTCATTGCGAAAGAAAATAATCATCAATTGTTGCCGACGTCTTTGTTGAATCATGGCGAAAACCCGGCAAGAAGATTGATGAAGAAATTTAGAAATGTTAGTATACTTCCAAATATAGAGGCACGCTGCAAAGGAGCAGAGAAATTGACCGATTGGTCGATACTAGCAGTGCTATTGAATAACAAATTGAGATTATTACATGAGATCTACGGTCGTATTAAATTTCCTTTGTCTTCATTAAATTTCATAAATTACAAGCGTGAAAATAATCGCGAAGTAGTTTCATTCGATCGCGATAGCGAAACAATGACGAACGATACGTTAAATGTCGTTGAACAGGAAAATTGGATTCGACGAACATACTTCAAAATCAAATCCATACTCCCAGACCTGCACGCTAAAATCCGATTCCATTCAGCAACCGCATCGGACTCGTATTGTTCGGAAAATATTTTTGTGGTGAACCAAGTGATTCCGTTTTCCGACATAATTTCCAACAACGCGATTCTCTTTGCATCAAAAGATTATGAAGCTGATAAACCGAGGACCGGCATTCGGAGGAAGATACAGGAATTTTGTATGCAGCGGAAAAGAACTCTTAAGAAGAATAGAGAGAAGAATGATATTTGTAAGAAAAGAGAGAAGTCGTGTGAAAAGAGAGAGACAGAAAAGAGGACTGATTGCTCCGGGAGAATAAAGTGGGCAGGCAAAAGACAAAATGTAGTTTCTTGTAAAAGGAGAAAGAGTTCTTGCGATAAAAAATATTCTCGCGATTGCCGTAAACCTCGCGAACGAAGGGAGGAGATCCAAGAAGATCCGTGTAAACCGAAAAAGGATGATACTTCTAGAACAGAAAAAGATCCTTGCCGTGTACAACCTCGCGAACGAAAGGTGGAGATCCAAGAAGACCCATGTAAAAAGAAAAAGGATGATACTTCTAGAACAGAAGAAGATCCTTGCAGTGGACCACTTTCCATGAAGCAAGAACAAACCTATTATGAACTGCATGACGCAAGTCCATGTAGGACAGAGAAGAAAAAAGATATTAAGAAGAAAGAAGAACCTGAGAAGAAAAAAGAAATAAAAAAGAAAGAAGAAATAAAAAAGCCTGATTGTTTAGAGATTAAAAAAGTTGATCCATGTAAGAAGAAACCGTGTCCAGCTGTTAAAAAGCTTCCAGAATGTTCTGATGACACAAAAGGAAAAGGCTCTTGAAAATATCTCACTTATGCATTGTTTATGTACGAAATGTTTTCTAAAAAAAAAAAACTTTCACAATGTCTCTTTTTACGTATAGAAATAATAGTAGAGTTAAAAAATATTTCCGCAAGTATTAATTACAAAATCTATATTAATTTTAAAATGAATTATTTCAGCAAGAAATCTAGTTTATATCGATGTACTAAATTACTATAAAGAAAAAAAATTTGTTTTCATAATATCTCATATCTGTGAAGTACTTATACAAGTATATGATACGTTCTGTTACATATAAATCTGTGAGTAATAATAAATATTATTTTACATAGTATATTGTAAATTTTTTAGTTATACTCTCTTTTAAGTATAGAAATCACAAAAACACTCTAACTAAACAATTATATGATATCATAATTTTTTATTTCAGCCACAACCAGAAAATTTAACTGTCAAGGTTCAAAAATCTGGAATAATAGCTGAAGTAAGTTTTTGGAATATTTATTATATTTTTGTAAAGGGGAATTCAATAATTTTTTTTATTTGATAAATAAATTATGAAATTACAACGATATCTTTCGTATTTGAATATATTTTATTTGCATATTTTTTAAATAAAATTACACGCGATTAAATTAAAAAATTAGTATCTAAACATACGTTCAAAAACTCGCAAGAATGTTTTGAAAAAGTGATCGCTGTGGCTCCACCTCCCTTCTGCCTCTTTTCTCGTTAAATTGCCTACTTTAAATTATTCAAAATCTTACAACACATATACGCGTGAAAAAGGATATCTTATTCACATAATGAACTATTATAAATTCTATTTCTGATCGCTTTGGTCGTCACTTTCCTGCAGAGAAGAGAGAATTCAAGTTCATCGATGACATCTGCAGTAAAAATAGTAGGAAGTGGAAAACCAATCGAATCCAATCGGATCCAAACCAACAGAGATTTTCTGTCGATCATCAATTCATATCAACAGTTTACGAGAATCAATTTTGTCAAAGATTTTCAGCAAGACGCCAATTCGACAGTCAATTACAAGGATTGTTCCGATTTTTCTTTTCTACATAAGCATTTTGTCACCGATCTTCGCTATTGTAGCGATCGTGAGTTTGAGGAATCAAAGTTATTGTACGATGCCAACGATGATTACTTCCCTCAAGGTGAAGAATATGAAGAAGAGATCGGTACAGATGACTATCAACTAGGTAAAAAAATAAAAAACCCTAGTAAAGAACCGTCGATTGTCGACGACGAGTACGACAATTTCGAGCCGACGATGCTGTTGTTTGAAAATAGCAAATACGTCAATGGAGGTCCATTAACGAGGTTTATTACACGCGTACATTTTTCAAGTATTGAAGAACTAATAGAGTCTGATCGAATAATGCTGATGTCAGAAAAAGTTTCCAACAAGGACGCTGTCGAAAAATTGCAAACTCTGATCGAGAAAGTAGCAGAGTTCAAGCGTCGAGTTTTCCGATCAAAACATGAACCAGCGAAAATCGAGACAGACGGAAGAAAGGAAAAAAAAATCATCAATGAAAACAAGGACAACGAATCAATAAAAATAAAAGCAACGAATCAATGAATTGATCCTATTTTTTATATGAATCAAAGGGTCTTTGTAAGCATGTAAGCATTAAGCTAGCTATTATATTCGTGAACTGTATTCGCATTAAATCATTATTTCCATTCTTTACCCATAAAAGAATACAAGCGCTTTGCTTTTGTCTTGTTAAACTCTCTAAAGGAGGGAGGTGGCCCAAGAGCGCTGGTCGGGATTATCGCGAAATTATTAAGGAAGTGCAACAAAATCCTTCACGAATTAATACGTAAAAACCAGCAGGCAGTTAGTGGCAGAGTATTGCGGCTAGGTGAGCCAGACTGTGGCGAGGATTCGCCTGATGAACCAAAAAAGAATCCGTGCGATCCACCCAAGGGCCCCTGTCAGCCCGCCGAACCACCGGGTTATCCCTCCAAGCCAAAACCCAAAAAAAAGCCATTCTGCGTTACTCAATGCCCACCCAAGAAACCGTGTAAGAAAGAAAAATGCTGAATCGCGTTAGTAAGAGACAGAAGGTACGTGGAGGCATCAGCGACTATCATAAATATCGTTGCCTGATGGAAACGAAGAGCTGTTGTTATTTCTAGAAAAATATAGATACATATTTCTTTATCTTCATCTCTTTTTTTGAATCCCGCAGGCTATCCAGAAGCTAAAGTTCATACAAACGGAAGCTTTCCCAAGAAATCTACTGAGGCCTATCTTTGGAATAGAAGAATTAGGATTTAATCGATGGAACTATAAAGTCTATTCGATGAATATGCTCAACTCAGGATTGATTTACACCAGAGATTTTAGTTCCTTCAAGTCTAAAAACATCCTTTTAAGGCATAAAACATTTGATCGAGTTCACGAACAATCGAGAAAACATTTTTTAAAACGTTCATTCAAGATGAAATGTAAACTGCCGCCTCCAAATGAACTAACAATGGCAATGTCAGTCTGCTATCCGACAGTCCCACCTTCTTGTCTACCATTCTTAAAATTCTATAGATTCATTGAGAAATATTTTCTACTTTGTCATAATTTGTCATCGTTACCTTGTCATCATAAATCAGTCAATTTGCTACGTTTTTTCGCTTTATATCCGAAATTTATAAAGAAGCTGCCATTCTTAAAGATCTGTCATGAGAAGATTTCACAATGTCTGGAAAGCTCGAAGTCATTAGCATCGTCTTCTAAATATTTAATGTGTCTGAAATATTTGTTAAAATGGAAATTCCTATCTCCAGAACTTTGCAAACAATATTTTTTATCGTGTTCTCTGTCTTGCTCAACTTGCTCACATTCACTTTCACAGTGCTCACGAAATGTTTCCAAAAACATTCAGGAAATATCCAAGAAGCTTCCAAAATTACAAAGGAATAAAACATATAAGACGTCCACTCATCGTGATCTCTGTTATCCGATTTTTCGGCATAGGCGTGGCTTTCTTCACTGGCGAGGATTTCACAGCTCTTTGTTTCCACTTGCTGAATCAGATTCTAATAAGCCTTCCGCTTGCAAGAAGATGGATAAAATCTGCAAATCGATCGAGATGAAGAAAGCTGATAAGTGTGGCAAATCTTGCAAGGAAAAAAGCGACGTCTGTCACCAAGAAAAGGTCAAGTGCGATAAGTCACAGCAAAACAAGAAAAAGACGAGGCAAAAACCAAAAATAGAGAAAAAGATCGTGGATTCCGAGTGTAGGAAGACTTGTCTGCCAATAGGCAAATGCGAACTGCCTCGAACTGTTCCACCACCGAAGATGGAGTACGCAAAGGTAATGTGCATTCCGCCGAAGTTTGTGAAGCCTAAACTGTGTCCACTTGTGGAACACTTCCAGAAAGATGATAAGTCTGATATAAAGACTAAATTGACTAACGTCAAAAAGAAGCAAATTTGTGCACCAACTCCATTGCCGAAGCCACCGAGCACACCTATCGTACTTTGTCCCTGTCCACCACCACCCAAAGTACATCCTGGCTCGTGTCCGTGCTACGAGATGAAAGCGATAAATGAACGACCCTCGATACAACCGTGTTTGTTGAAGAAGAAATATCCCTGTCCCACTGGCGTATATTATTGTCCTCCGCAAAAGAAGCCATGCGATCTACGAGTAAAACGAGAAACTGTAGGCTGCGAACATAGGAAAGAAAAGAAGACGTCGGCATCTTGATGCGTCGCACGAGAAACGAATGTAGCATAATATTGATCATCATTTTTTAAACACATAATTAGAAAGTTGAAAAAGTTTTAACAGAAAAGAGGATTTACATTAAATAAGTTTCAAAAATCAAATAATTTTTTCAAAAAAATTGAACATTGATTTAGATTGAGAATAATCGTTTTATATACGAAACATTGACTTATATACATAAATTGCTTTTTGTCAAAGATTTTGATATTTCCATGAAATAATGACCGATTATTGTTCAAAAAATGCACAGAATGGTAGTAAGGAATAAGTTTTACGTAAGAATCTTAAGATATGAGAAAACAAGAATAAATGTGCACAACAGTGATTTCTGCGAGATCTATGAAATTAGAGATTCGGTCTCCTGGATCGATAATTGTCAACAATTTAAGACCGACTTGTTCATCTTCTGTCAGATCTGCGATTGATAGTGTATTTCTCCGTTTAATGACTTCATTTTGTCTATTTGTAACTTTTTTTTTTTCAAGGAAACACTACTGATCGCAAGAGTTTAGTGCAAGGTGAACAAACCGGCTGCCGATGCATGTTGCTTGTCGCGTGACTAACGGATTATCTATTCTAAAATTATACGCTGATAATATATACTAATGCGTGTGCATGTTTCAACCTAACATAAGATTCCTATAAATATTAGTTACAATTCGATAAATGTGTATAATGTTTATCAACATAAATATATTAAAATATATCAACTTAAAAATATAAACACATGCGTATCAAATATCATACGTTATAAAATCATACGTTATAAAATAAATTTGTTGTGGATGATTTCGATATTATTATGTATAAAAATTTAATTTGCATCATATTTTTTAGGCATTATATCAACACAAAGATGAATAATTTATTTTATTTAGCTAAAATATTAGCTAAAATATAATAATAATTTAAAAAAACAAATTTTTTTTCGTTATTTTGAATAGACTTTGTTGGTCATGCGGCATTCGATGTGCATCTTACTAATTTTTTTAAAGAAAAAGTTCAAGTCTAAATTCGAATAGATCTCGCAGTTAATTTTACGAAATATATTGTTTTCTCTTTACGCGTATTCTATAAATTAACACCTTAATGCTTTTACAGGAAAAGCGATGAATACAATCGACTAATCGATATAAATGAATTCATATTAAATTTATGAAATACAAGCTCAGGAATTAGATTTGTATCTTTTCACTTTTCTCTATTTTGTCTAATACAAAACATAGATATACAAGATGTTAAATACTTGTGAGGAGTTAAACAAAATATTTGTCAATGAAATTAAAACAAATTTTTGTGATATAAAGAAAGGTTTTTAGTTTATATATTATGTATCGACTATAGAAACTTTAACTGCACGTTTATGGATCGATTATGTATATCACATATTTTGTAAATAAAGTTTTGTCTATTAATATTATTTAACATTGGCTTTTTTCGAGTATAAAAATGTGAAACTGTTTGTATTTTCCCGGCAACTTAATATGGAAGAAACAGTTATAGATTTCGACAAAAGTCTCATTTTGCGAGTTCCACAACCATCTCTGCTCAACGATAGGTCATATCCATTGCTACGATGCGTTTTAACGGGGACGAAATGCGGGAACGATACGCGGGGTGAAAGGGAGGACGAATAGCGGATTGCTGTGAATAGAGAAAATCGATTTCTACTGTGGTGATCGGTTCCAACGTTTGATTCGATCCCGTTTGTGTACGCGATAATAATCGTGGCTGTACGTGCGGACGCCACTTCTGCCGATTTATATCATGCGAATGTGTGCGTACCGGCAAGCGATACGAAATCGGCATCAAAAGCGTTTCGTTACAATAATATCGACATTTATATACGACGGGGTTTCGGCCGGGAGAAAGTTTGGCGGAAAGACGAAGGTCCTTATCATTTTATTATTGGGGTGGGTAAGCAACCCTCGCTTTTCTCCGAACGATGCTTTACTTTTACCTCCCATTGTCTGTCCCTCGAATTGGGCCTCGACGCTCTCTTAAAGGCTTAAGCGCCGTTTCGAAGCGCCCAATAGGATAATCTAGCCTTTCCACTTCGCTTCCTATTAAAATGGAAGCGACCCAGTTGTTTGACGTTCACACAATTGCAGAGCCACGTACGTTTAATTTTGTTGTCATTTAAAAAAAACTCTTTAATACAAATATAAATTATAACTAATAATTAGTAATTATTAATTAGTATATGAATATAATACACGTGTATAAAAAAATTGATGTATAATTATACATTTATATAATTATGCAAATAGCATAATTTCCTATTCTCTTTGTATGATTTGTTGAATTGATACAGATTCCAGATCGAAAAAAATATTTTAGCATATCGTTTGATAAGAAAAATTATAATTTTCATTAAAAATAATATAGAGTTCAGTAAAAATGCAGTCGGTATATATATTCCAATATAGTATTATATCAATTGCCGGGAATCCAAGAGAACGGTCTCGGCCGAAATCGCTTTCGATGAGAGAGTTATCTCGCGTTCGCGGAAACTTCTCCCACGGTGTTCTCCTCACGCCAGGTTTCACCGGTGCAAGATATCGCGAGCATTATCACAGGCGTTCACCGTGATTGGTCGGATTCGAGGGTATCGTCTCTTTTTCCACCCTCTCGCTCGACCAATAAGTGACGTTTCCAACCGAGAAAGGGTGCGGAGGGTAGGGAGCTCGAAAGGGGGTGGCAATTCGGCGAGAGAGACGAGACGTGCAATGTTCCGAGGGGATTGCGAAGGAGGGAGACGAGGAGCAAGTGAAGCGATAGGGGAAGAGGAGGTGGAGGAGGAGGTGGAGGACGAGGAGACGGGAAGGGGAGAAAACTCTCTGCGTGGAAGAGAGCCGAGCGGGTCGGGCTTCTCGGTGGAAACAAGCGGGATGGATAAACTTCGGAGCGACTGTCCCCGAGGCTGATGCATAATTCAGGAATCGTCACCGGCGAGGATATTGCCAATTTGGCGTCGATGAAAATACGATCGGATTTGTGTCGGCTACCGCCCAGAATGGGGCTCGCTCGCCAGGATACACATCCAGTGAATTTAACACCTTCGCCCGACCGACCGACCGCCCACCCTGCCGTGCGTAATTGCATCGCAACCAATCCGCGGACTGGTGTACACACGATCGCCTCTCTAATAGCGTTCGCCGTTTTCACGCCGTTTCCGATATGGACGGGGAGTTAAGAGTTCTGTGACATCGCCGGACAAATTACGGTAGCCAATAGCTTCGTGCGGCGCTTTATCGTTGCGCGGCGTCGCGCGGTATCGTTTGCGTAGCGGCCGTAATGAATGGTGAAACGCAATGAGATGCGATATAGAAACGAAACTCTACTCTAAGCACAGGAATTTTTGTTCCAACCAATTTGTATTTTTTATGTATATATTTTGGAGTATTATACAAAATCGATTGCTTCGATATAAAAAATCACACACTATTGATTATAATATATCCTTTTATGAGGAACAGTAAACGTTACGCTGGATTTTAAGTAAATCGATGTTTATCGTGAAATATTCCAATATATCAGGCTCAATCAT